TCACTTCTCTAGGAAAGGCTGCTAGGGCAGTGATGGAAGCTCCCTTATCCTTGCTTTAAGACAAGAATTTAACAATGAACTAGCTTGCTTTTTGGAAGCTATGTGGTGCAATCAGAGGTAGCCTTGCCATTCAGATCTCACCTTCCTCATCCGTATCATAGTGCACCGCAGTGTCAGCCTGACATGCTCTTAATAGAGCATCTTGCTCTTAATAGCCATCCCATCCTAATTATTTGCTTCCTGGAAAAATTATCCAATTTCTCACTGGTCATGAATTTAGAACTATCCAAAAAGTCAAAGTCACATAATCAATCCCATATTATCTTTAAGAGGCTATTTTTCTTAATCACATTTTGGTGCTGAATATGAGTTAGATAAGGCTAAGTGCAACAGATACCACTCAAGCTGCTTGAAGCAGCATAATTTTTAACTCAAAGGATTAGAAGCTTATAAAATGATTACTATCTTGTAAAAATGAAATCCAGGAAGCTACCCTTCACCTTTTCCTTTAAATGTGTATGACTACATCTGCCACAATTGTTATCACCTTTATCACTATCCACTTCACAGAATCAGTGGGATGATAGTAGACCATGTAGCCCAGCAGTTGCCAACAATTTTGTCTGTGGGAGCTCACTGATCTAACTGCACTTCTACAAGACTGTGACAGCCAACTCTTCTGCCTTCTTAGTATTTTAATCATGAGTGCCTCACACTGACAAAAATTAAATCTGTGAGAATCATAGGCTCACAACAAAATCCGTGAACTTGAAATTTTCATTTTCATTTCTATAATACTATTGAAGAGAGACAGACTGCCTACACTTGGAGAATGGGCATGGATCTGTCATGCTAGTAAACATCTTGCACAGTAACTTCAAGATGGTGCTAGATTTCCATAGTAGTTAAAATTTAGAGTAGACTTCTGGGATGTTGTCATGGTTTATGTCTGTGTCCCCCAGGCCTCATGAGTTTGCATTGTGCATTTGTGATTGGTTCATTGTCTAGTGCTTGGATTCATGGTGTCAGTGCTATACCCACATAGGGGTGGAGCCAGAATGTGATGTAATGGCAGGAAGAAGGTGTGTCTTGCTCTTTGCTGGTTCCTGTTTGCTTTTTGCAGCCACCATGAACTGCGGGCCAGCCATGCCCACCTGCCTGGGAGCCAACTGAGTGTGGACTGAGACCTCCAAAAACTATAAGAAATAAATCTTTCCTTTCCCAACTTGGGCATCAGGTATTTTGTCTCAGCGATGAGCATAAAGTAACTAAGACAGAATTTGGTACCAGGAGTAGGGCTATTTGCTGTGACTATACCTGGCCATGTTTTTTGAGAGGCTTTGGAAATGGCTTGTGGGCAGAGTTTGGAAAGGTTCAGACATGTTGCCTAGATGCATAGAGCTGCAGCAGCTTAGGCTGTTCTGTAGAGGAGATACTGGTCAGAGCTCAGGAGACCAGAAGGCTGATAAAAAGCCTTATGGTAAAGACCAGGCTTGGGAGGTTTCTGCTGGGAAGGACTACATTGGTGGTTCGACTCCACATGATGTGTGTTATGGCTTGGCAGAAAGTTTGTCTGCATTTTGCTCCTGCCCAGAGACTTTGCCTGAGACTGAGACAAAGGGCAATGGACTGATTAATCTTGAAAAAGAAATTATAAAAAGCAATCGAACATTGAAGCTGTGGCATGGCTATTGTTGGGGGCTTTCAGCCAGCTTTATGTTTCATATCAAGAGCAAAAAGCCCAGCAGGATAATTTACAATGCTGTGAGTTTGGCCAAAAGGAAAATTCCAGGAAGGCTGTGGATTGTAAAGACAGAGTTGAGATTTTGATTGCTGATGAGAAACAGAGAGATAAGAAAGATGGCCCCAGGGCATGCCAGGAATTGAGTCCCCACCCTGTGCAGCCTCACAGCAAAGGTGAAAGAATTTGCCCAGAGGAGAAAGCTGCAGAGTGTCATGCTCCAGAATGGCAACAGAGGCCACATGAGTTTCCAGAATGGCAGCAACACAGAGAAGCTTTTGATCACAATCCAGGCAACTGACCCCTACAGCCAAGAGAGAGAAAAGCCTGCCTACTGCTTCAGCTAGCAGCAAACCTTGGTGGCATCCACAAGGTGTTGATTTTAGGTGCAAGGAAAATGCACGAATTCTGAGGGTAAAACGGCTTCCACCTCGATTGCAAAGGGCCAGGGAGGCCAAGCAGTGTGCCCCTGAGAGGGTAATTTGTGAAGATGTAAGGGTGAAGCCGAAGGTGCTGTGGAGACCCCAGAAGTTTGGAAAAGCCAGGAATGTGGATGATCCAAGGGAAGCTGCCAAAAGCGAGCAGAGAAGATTTAAGAGAAAAGCTGCGGGAGTGGAAATCACTGGAAGTGCCATGGGGGTGGAATCACCCAAGCCTTTTGGAGCTTGTAACCAGATTGCTTCAGATGCTGAGCATGGAACTCTAGGACTTAATGTTTGTCCTGCTGGATGTTGGACTTGCTTTGTTTCCAATACTTTATATTCCCCTGTTTGTAAGTTTTGGAATGGAAATGTTTATCTTGTGCCTTTGCATTTCAGAAATGTTTTACCTTGTTTCATTTGAACAGAGGGTTACAGTTAAGAGTTTGCCATAGACCTTGGAGGAAACTTGGGACTTGGATTGTTCAGCAATGCTGAAACTGTTAGGACTTTGGCAACTTTTGGAGCTGGACTAAATGTCTTTTGTATAAAGGATGTACACATGAGTCCTGGGGGCCAAGAGTGGAATGTCATGGTTTATGTCTGTGTCCCCCAGGCCTCATGAGTTTGCATTGTGCATTTGTGATTGGTTCATTGTCTAGTGCCAGGATTCATGGTGTTAGTGCTACACCCACATAGGGGTGGAGCCAGAATATGATGTAATGGCAGGAAGAAGGTGTGTCTTGCTCTTTGCTGGTTCCTGTTTGCTTTTTGCAGCCACCATGAACTGCAGGCCAGCCATGCCCGCCTGCCTGGGAGCCAACTGAGCGTGGACTGAAACCTCCAAAAACCGTAAGAAATAAACCTTTCCTTTCTCAACTTGGGCATCAGGTATTTTGTCTCAGCGACGAGCATAAAGTAACTAAGACAGATGTAAACTCCAATCCTCAACTCTAATGATAAACCAGAGATAGGCTTCCCAAACTCATCTGACCCTTGTTTTGTCTCTCAAGTTCCTATGATACTTTTCTTTCTGGAGGTAAAATTAGGTAACGCTTTATAGGGCTGCCTTGTCAAGCAAAATGAAAACACTTTTGACTATTAATCTGATCAATTCTTTTATGATTGTGTAGCATCTCCATTAAATTTCAATGATGAGAGCTAAACTCAGAATGTGTATGAAAACCAACTCTATATGAACTGTTAATTCTCTAGATGATTATAAATATGAAAATATTGCACAAGATCCCTAGATCAAGGAAATTAAATCATACTCAGCAGTGAGGCAAGACTGTGGCTAATACTATTAATGCAATACTCACAACCTATCCATTGTCTCATTAGCAAATAGCTAGGTCATCATTATTCCTGAGAGACTGGTTCTTAGGATTCCTCACAAGGCAGAAAAACTCAGTCTAAATGTATAATGGATGACAAAGAAAGTATTTCTCCATGGCAAATACAAAGGAAAAAATAAAAATGAAAAAAAGAACTTATCTAACAGTATTCTCTAAAATTGCAAAAAGAAAAAAGAAAAAAAAAGACTCAAAGATATTCAGAGACCAATGAAGTATCCATACTATGCTTACCTGCCAAGATATGCTTAGGGTGGCTTTTAATTTGGACAATTATCTATATAGATGTTCAAATATAATAGGACCTCCTGAGAACTGCATTATATAACTGGATAGAGATACCATGTTGATGTTATCTTAGTTTCAAGGGAGACACTAGTTTAAGAACACATTCCCAGAGTATGACAATGGGGGAAAAAAAACAATAAATCTAAGTTCAGTATCTATTTGAGACAAATGTGTTTCCAAGATGCAAAGATATGAAGAAATGTGTTTGTATGTGTATCTGTAGACATATCTTTATGTAGTACAATGAAAAAGATTAAAAGCAAAACAAAAACCATAAATTCTCATTTATAAACAGATAGCAAAAAGTTCTAATTTCTAAAAGGACATGACAAAGCCTAAACTTGGTAAGCCTGAGAGAAAACATGGGTAAGTCAGATTACTGCTTGCCCACTTAAATATGTTAATTAATAATCATTTGGAAACAGCTATGAACCACTTCCTTAATAAACCACAGAGCTCTGGGGTTCAGATTCTGGAATCTGAACAATTCTTATATGGAAGTGGTTTTACACATAAATTTTATTTTATTTTGTTTTGTTGTAGTAGTGCTGGGGATGAAACTTGGGACCTTGGAAATGCTAGACAAGTGCTGTGCTACTGAGCTACATCCCTGGTCATTATGTCAATTATTTTTAATTTAGGTCTTTGAATTTAAATCAGGATTCACAGTATCCTGTTAAAAATAAATTTAAAATAACCTGTGATTTTCAATTCACACCTATGCCTTCCCTCTGTAATATACATTAGGAAAGCCATCTTTCAACACAATTTGTGGTGCTCCTTTGCCTTTCTACAACTTCCTCATCTCTTCAAAACTCATCTGCCTAGAATGCCAAAGACTGAACACATATATCAATCTAAACTATATCATGTATAAATCTAAACTATATCAATATTAGGGACCTTTCCAAGGTCACCCGTTAAAACTGCATATGCTAAACAGCGAATTTTTCATGCTTATGGCTCAAGCACCCCACTCCTAACATAAAGGCTTACCTCAAGATGCCTCTCAGTTTTGTGATTCCATTTACCACCCAGAAGGAGGCCCAAATCTAAGCCTTCTCTTTCATAAGCCCTTGTTTCTTTTCTACATGAGAAAATGGTGGCAAAAAAAGAATTTTGAATTTTAACAACTTGATCTTATAAATAAATATTTAGCAATTACATTACAATAAATTGATTAACAAAAGAAACACATTATTTTCTCACAGCAATAGTATATTTATTGTGCTAAAATCAGATAACAAGGATTGAATAGCTCTTGGGAATCAGTACAGAATGTTCACAAAGATTTACAAATCTCTAGTCATTACACACTGAGGAGCATAAACAAAGGTGTAGAATCCTCCTGGACCAAACTACTGCATGTGTTGCAAATTTCCTGTAATTCTCATGACTGCATGCTTTTCAGGGAAAAATACATAATTTTAATGCACAATAAATATTTTATAGTTTACAAAATATTCTGAAATAGTTTGTACAAATAGCACACATCCTACACATGCAGTTTTGACAAAGTGTGAATTAACTTGGAAATAGTCACGTCACTTCTGTCACGTTTTCTCTTTCTATGACTCCTCTGTGACAGCTCCCTTACAAATTAGCCTACATAATAAAGCATGGTACATGTTCTCTTTCCTTCTTTATTTCCACTTGTTCATTTCTGTTACATGAAATACTTCATTTGTAAATAGCAAGTGTAACTTGATTGTTTTGATTGTTCTGAATAAAATGCTTTTATTCACTTTATGTTTTAACGATTAACACAGTAAAATCAAGCACTGAATTAACATCCTTAGCACCAAGGAGTCAAGCACATTTACCAAATGGGTTTACACTTCATATCTAGTTAATGAATAAAATTTTGCAACTTAGTTACAAAGGAAATATCACTCCCAAAATTAAACATATTGAAAGAGAGGGATAGTTTCACAGAAATGTTTGGTGTATGCTATTTGTAAAAAAGCCAAAAAAAATTGTGGATTCAAAAGTGAAAATTAAAATTTACATAACAAGACTCCTTGATTTTTTAAATTAAATTTATTTAATTTTAAATGTTCGTTCCAGTAGAAGAGGTAGGTATATTTCAACATATGAAAAAATCAGTAACAGTCACAAATCAAAACAAGGAAAGTCTCATCAAAATCAACATACCTTCTTCTAACAGCACATAAATGTAATTATCTGATGTTACTAATAAAGACATGAGTCGTTTCATGTTTCAATAAGACAATAATCTTAATTTTCATAATACATTTCTGCTACAAATAGGATTATTCAAAGGCTGTCTTTTCATCACAAAAATTGTCTCCCACAGTGATTTGTGCCATGAGTCATGGTGACCTTTGGGTCATACACAATTAAACTGTAATTCTTTTCTAATTTCACCAACACCATCATCATCAAGCCTCTAAGATTCTACAGAGATGAGCCGACTTTTTAAATTTAATTATAACCAAAAGTATATATTCTGACTAGAGGTGGAGAGATTTGACTATTCAGTCAACAAATTCAAATGTGCAAATTTTAATGTACCACTTTTATAGCTTTGGACAATAAAATGTAAGGTAAAACATTTTAATCAGTTAAGGTAATTGGTAATCCAGTCAAAAAACCCATGAAGACCATGTATGTGTGATCATTCAAAATTCAGACTGAAGGATGGGTGCACGTAAGATACGCAAAAACTTTCACTTGTAGGCAAGTGGGTATGAAAAGGAGTCTCCAAAGTCATGTTATTACTGCTTTGGTCTAGACAACATCAAGGTTAATTTTTTTAAAAAAAGGTTTAAAATGAAAACTTCATAAATAAAACATCCAGGTATTGTAGTTAACACTTGACTCAGTGTACAGGTTACTAGTACATGAAGCACATTTGCCTTTTCTCCCCACCCCAAGCCCTCCTTTCCTCCTCTGTTTTCCCTGAAATTTTACATGACATAGGAGTTTCCTTACTGTCAACAACAGTTAAGGCCCAGTTCAATTTACTCTCCTTTTGGTTTTCCATTTCTCTGAGTTTTTCCATTTTCTACCACTAGTTGTTTTTCTGATTTGTTCACACCATTCGCTGAAATACCATTTATGGCTGTTTTTCCAGTTTTTGTTTTCTTAGGTTCATTGTATGTCCTTACGTAGAAGTTGAGAAAGAGAAATATGAAGCTGATTGCATAGGCAATCAGGGCCCAGTGCATCCATTTGGGGAAAGGACAATCAGTGTAGAGAGACAATGCTGTGTGCCCAATGGTCACATGGAACTGGACCTGAAAAAAAAATTTAGTCTGAAAGTGAGCACCTTTAATAACAACAACATTACAGTCTTCTATGCCTCGCTATGATAGGCCCAAATTCTGCCGTGCTGTTCACAAAGTTAGAAAGTTATCTGGTGGCATCTTATTCGGATGCCATCTGCTCAGCAAGCACTTCCTCTTGATTTCAATGGCCTTCAATCCTTAAGCACAAGCTGGGTGGGGTGTGTGTGTGTGTGTGTGTGTGTGTGTGTGTAATAAAGCTTAATTATGTGAAAGTTGTCTTTTGTAACTATGGACTTCTTCACTGTCTATCTTTCCTTTAGAATATAACTCCAGATTGCAGAGCAGTCATGTTCAGTGATGATGTCTGAGTCCTGGGCCATCAAACAGTGGGGACTACTTAAATATTTATGGACAATTACTGTCTGATGGAAGTAAAGCCATAGCCTGGTAGGGGTCTCTATTTTGTTTTTCTCCCACATTTATGATGGATGATTTTCTACCAAATTATCAGCAAGCAGGTCCATATGCTTCAAAAACTAATTTACGAAAACGGTTTATTCTTTACTTCGTACAGACAGTAGGCAAGCAAGTTCTTAAAAGGAGAAAAGCTAAAAGTGAGATTAAAATAATAAAATAATTTTAAATTCTATTGTATTATTAAAATGATTTGTGCTATAAGAATTATGAATTCTATGGTGTTAACAAGGCTTAACTTCTTATAAGATTAACTTATATTATTAGCTATTGTGAGAATTTCTGGCTTGGAAATACAAATTCAAAATCCTATTCAGAGTGGGCAATTATAACTTCTTTTTTTAAGGATTGCATTATCAATAGTTATACTAAACATTATTAAAATAATTTATTCCAGGTAAGCCAGAAATTTATATTAAACAACTTTTACAATTTCCCATGGCAAAAATCCAATGGTTCTTGGAACTGTACCACCAAAAAAAGGGTGTGGGCCAGGGTGTGATTGGGTCTGGCATCGCTCATGGAGAACTAGGGCAGGTTCCAACAAAACACATCTTTCACAGTTCATTCACATGATTTTGGTCACTTCTTCATTTATTAATTACTGAGAGAAGTGAATTACACAAACTGTATGAGCAGCTTACACAAAACTGGAGGGCGCCTCCTGTAGCATTTTAGTTACAAATGAATCCTTCACACCCAGCATTCCACAAAAGCTGTGTATCCTGTTCGGCTAGGCCTCTGTTTAGCAACTTAAAGCAGAGATGGGGAGTATTACCAAATGTGATTCCACTGATAAAACTGCGTACACTATGATTAAAGCAAGTTGTGATAAATTGTGAAGCTTGGAGATTAACTACCAGATTTTTGAGTTTGATTATAGGCCACTACAAAACATCCAGCTCCAGGGAGATGCTGAAAGCTGTCTAGCCTGATGACTAGACTTCTTCCCTACATGAAAAATGCCTGGCTCTGCTTCTAAGGACAGTGTTTTAGGCAATTAAAGTAAGTCCTCTGTTCTTTCTGCCCTTCCATCAGTCCACCCTTCCTTGGCTCTATCTCCATTTCAACTTTACCTTCTAAGCGCATGGGCTCCTGTTAACAGGAACTTTAAAAATGGAATAAAAGAAAAGTTAAAACAAGGACAAAATGAAACTAACAAAATTTTAAACTAAAAAAAAAAATCACTCAAAAAATGTTATGTGGTTTTTCTAATTATACATAAATCTAGGTACTTTGTGAAGTGCAAAGATCTTTTTTTTTTTTTTGAAGTGCAAAGATCTTTAGTCACCCACTCCACAGGTACTTTTAAAGGCAGTGCTCTCAGTGGGTTTAAGTACTGAGGTTGATCTTTAAAGGACCCTATAAAACCAAACGGCCATAGTCAAGAAATCTATGAACAGGTATGTCAGAACTGAGCTACACCAATGCCACAGCTAGAGGATATTAATTTTCTAATGGAAAGTGTCTAAAATGACTGCGAACATTCCAAAGAACAAAATGCAAACATCAGAAGCATTTAACTCACCAGCTGAAGCATGGTCAGGTACCGCTTCCACCAGAGATACTTCTGAATCCACGGGCCAAATGCAGTTAATCCATAGTATGAATACATAATCACATGAATAAAGGAATTCATCTGGGCTCCAAAAAACGCTTTAGAAAACCAAGAAGGAATTGTAAGATGATATTACACTTAGAAACCACAGAAATTTTAAAAGTGGATCCATGTTATTTTGTAACATTTAATCTTGAGAACAGAGGAAGACTAAAAGACATAAAGCAGTACTAAGGAAAAAACCTCTCAAATTAAGCTAGATATTTGAAAAGTTTACATTTGAGCTTTTATCATGTAAATAAAAATGTGTGTTGCTCAAACACAAATGACTTTCAAAGTGGTAAGTTCTTAGATGAGGCACTCTGGTGGAGTAATAGGCCCTAGTATATTTTTATTTCTACTACTCTTGAAAGAAAAAAGTTATCGCACATCTCAACTCTTTAGGAAATTTACAAATGTTCTATTATTTTCATGATATATCGCAAATTACATATCAACAAAAATACTATGTCTTAGGTTTCTATATAGTTTCAAAATACGAAAGAACTATACATATAGAATAATCTATTTAGTATCTATAACTCTACAGAAATACTGTCTAAATCAACAGCTTTCTTTCTTTTCAGAATATTAACTCAAAGTATAGACACAATAATAACAATGAACTTTGCCGTGAAGTAATTTAAGGGGTCAGACTTACCAGTTTTCTTTTTAAAATAGAGTTTAAATATACTTTTTAAAACTGGGTCCCCAAAATACTCATTTGTCAGGGTAAACTCCTAATTTGCCAATTACCCTATGACAATGCAAAGCATAAGGTGAACTCTACTGAGAGGACTTGTACCGCAGGAACTCACAGAGGAATTGTTTTAAAGCATTGTTAGTCTACTGGCACGTGAAAAGACGAGGCAAATCTCAGCCAACTGTGAGTTCAGATCTTCTCTAATACTAAAGAGGTTATATGTGATTTCATTTAAGTAAGAACCAACAAGATCATTTAAGGTCTATATTAGCTCAGGAGTGAACACCAGCCTTGGGCTGTAGATGAAATCTTCAGACTGAATACTTGTGCCCTGGCATCCTTCAAAACATAAAAACTATTAGAATTAATCCTCATGCAAATACTACTTTGCAGGGGGACTTGGGTTCTATTCATCTCTGGGGCAAACGTTTGGATATTAAAGTACTCACAGATAAGCTGAAGCTTTTCTTTGTTCAAATTTTTTTAAAAATGAAATGAACATGGAGATGATTAACCATGAAAGCTAGTTAAAAGACAGGCCACATCAAATTCCTAGGTTCCTGATACTTTCCACCACATACATAATAAGTACTGTAACCCATGGAGATACAATCCTGAGACGCTTACCTTGTCCTCCTGCAACCCACTTAATTCCAATCCACCACAGTGTGAACATGGTACAGTGATGATACACGTGCAAGAAAGAAACTTGGTTGTTTTTCTTCCTCAGGATAAAAAATACTGTGTCCAAATACTCCACTCCTTTAGATACGAAGTACCACCACAAGGCAGCAGCTATCTGTGACATGGAAGGAAAAGCATGTTATAAACACCAAAATGACACTCTTACGTGGGTTTTTACTCTTTGTTAGTAACTCCAAAATGCATTATGCAAAATACTTAAGGCATACAATCACTTGTGACTAGGTAGTCCTAAACATCTATGGGGTAGGAAAAAGGAAAAAGAACAAATCCAAAGTTGTATCCATTCAGTGCCAATAATCTAGAGAAAAGTTTCTCAGTTAAACAGGTGGATGTCACAACTGCTGACAGAGTTATAAACACATTCACACTACTATGCTTTTTGTAGAAAAACAAAAATATTACTTTGTAAAGGTATGTCAGGTATTCATATATAGCCTAGGTAATATCTCTAATGGATTTACATTAAATTTATACAACAATTGGTCTTGTGCAGTGTCTCACTTCAACATGCATAACAAAGTAATTTTCAAATCATGGCAATTTGTATTAAGTGCTGAAGTCCTTCAAATGATAAAATGAACAAACAAAAGCAAAAAATTACTTGCTAGGCCATAAATATAATCCTGTTTACATGCATAAGTCTTTTCTCTTCATGGGCTCTAATTAAGACACCAGATGGTACAGAAAGATTACACTACATGCTGAGATTAAGGATCCAGTAAGAGGTGACCTCTGTATGTGTTGTGTCTCTGTGTGTACAGGTGGAAGTATTTTATAAGAATCTTATGGTAACAGTAACTGAAATCTAGCTTTTTTATATCAAATATTCTAAATGTCTTATGTAAAAGTAACTAATACAGTACATAACAAATCTATTTATAACTGTGTATGTTAGAGGCTTGACAGATTCATTAATATAGACAGACTCAGGTGCTGTAGAGTTGAATGATCCTTTCCTCATTTTGTGCCATCATAGTCAACGTTGTAAGTTTTGGGTTTTGCATTTGAAAAGAAAAATTACTGTTTCTTTGTGAGTCAGGGACTGAACACAGAGCAAAAGATACTAGGCACACGCTCTGAAGGCCCAGTCCTTGGCTTTATTTCAAATTCACAATTGAGCAACCATTCAGTCCATAAAATATAATAAATATTCCCCCAGTTGTAATTTTAAAACATGCAAAAGTGGAAGAGAAAGACTGAATTTTTTAAAAGTCATGTATTTATAAATTTCTTGACTATCATTTACTGAATTGTTCTAGACAACGTTGACAGTGACAAAATTGGTTGAAAATAGGGTTGAAACCCTTGAACAGGCTTGAACATCTAACCCTAGTAACATTTACAATTATACTTAGTACTTTAAAATAATAAAAACCATTTTGGCATAGTAAATTTCATCTAAGATTAAAGAGATATGTCTTATTTTTCCTCCATTTGGGCCTCTAAACTAGTCTCAATTTCCCTGTAATAATAAATACTTCTCCTTAATGTTAGACTACATTGGATCCCTTTGAATAGTGAGAAAACGGATACTCCTGAGCTTCATAATAATGAATACAAAAGTGTTTCCTTTGAGTACAATATTCATTCTACTGCATCCACCATTAGAGAGAGGAGAAGGGAGGGAGAGGAAGACTCCTACTGCAATCTGTTTCAAATCTTGGTTCTTTCTTCTCCTAGACTATAACTCTCACAATAGGTGGTTTTTTACACTTAAAATGTTGAAGGTAGTTTCATAATTCAGAAGGTGCTATGAATCTCTATCCTGCAAATATGAGTTCACTGCCTGCTCCAAGCATACTATCAGCAAAAAGCAAGTCACACATCTCTCCTGCCCTTCTTCCCAAACAAGCAAGAGGTCAGCTCTCACTGCCGAGATTGTAGAATAAGGTGGAGAGCGAAACCCTAACCAGCAAATCTAAATTAAGTTGCCTTCCAAATTCTCTCAGTCACATCACCAGCTTTATTTTCCTCTTAACCACAGGCATCAGCTCTGTAGAGGTAGACACCTCACCTGTCTTCCCACCTGTGTCCCCTGTTGCCCCTCAGTGTGCACACAACAGGCTCAGCACACAGACAGTGAATGAACAAAACCAGTATGACAACCGAAAGGGTAACTCTTCATTTCTATAAAATATAGCTATATTCCCTTCTAATTTCCCTTCTAATAGGGAAATGAACAGACAGACAGAAACGGAACAGTAAAGGAATTCGGTCTGGGCGTAGATGAGTAGTGATTTTTATACTGTCTAAACTCCATGCCAAAAAGCTATGTTTCTCAATGGAAGATACTACACTATTACTACATGTTTTGCATATAATATAAGGCGTACAACACATGCATACTCCACATTACATATAATTTTTCATATGAACTACAGTGCACTTTACATAGTTCATAAAATATTTGCTTTTCCTCAGATTTTTCTAAAATCAATCAGACTCTTTAAATTTCTATTCTTGACCAAAAATAACAAAAATATAAAATAGTATTTTTACATAAAACACAGAACTTTTTAGAAGTACTACTTTCTAGTAATCCAATAAATATCCACTTTTACACCACCAGACAAAAGAACACATTGGTCCAACAATGTTTGTAATGTACTTACCCTGACTTCATTAACATTATTAGAATAATCCACAGTCTGGCAAATATAGCTATATCCTGCATTATATGATCCCATGAATAACTGGAAGAAAGAAATACTTGATGGAAATTTTAGTAGATACAACATTAAAAACACTGAATTTAACATGTATCTTTTCAAATTAAGTACAATATTTTCTGAAAACAATTCCAAATTCATTAAACACTTAAAGCATTGGTATTTCTAAAAGTTATTGTATATCACTTCTTTTATAATTATAGTCTAAATTAAAAATCAAACATAATCATTAGACTGAGATATCAATTCTACTTCATAATGCTAAGAGAAATTTTTATAGCCATGTTTTGGGTCCAAGAACTGTTCTACTTAACTGGGTTTTGAATAAGTATGGTACATATCTAACAAATTAAGTGAAGGTATCTAAAGGTTTTGTGAAGTTGAGATTCTATAAGGTAAGTTGTCAAAAAACAAAGTATTTTTTAAAAGAAGAGTTATTCTTAGTTTTCCTAGCATCACTAGTCAGCTAAGATCACACAGAAACTTGAATAAATTTCTTAGGAAACGAATTCCTCAGTCCCAAACTCCTTCTACTCTTGCAATCTGAAAACTGGCTGTGTCAATAGAGCCTCCAGGACTTTCTTTCAACTGTCAAGGAGAATTTGTTGGTGTCTAGAAAAGTACGTGATGGTTAGCAGCAACAGTTGCCTGAGTTGTATAACAGTTAACTCATTTTAGTTTCAGCCTAAATTATAATAAAATTACATAATAGGATTTAAGTTGAAACTGGTATTTATGTATACATATTTTGATCAGTTACCAAAACTGAAACTGATGAATAAGCATTTTAAATAAATAACTGCCAGTCGGGCGAGGGATTTAGCTCAGCAGTATAAGCGCCCGCCTGGCAAGCATGAGGTCGTGAATTTGATTCCTGGTACCAAAAAAACCCTGCAAGCATGGCATGGTGGCAAATGCCTGTAACCTCCGCAATGGTGAGGTTGGGGCAGGAGGACCACTGTGATTTCAAGGTCAGTCTGGACTACACAGTGAGTTCAAGGCCAGTATGAACTACAGAGCAAAAAAATAAATAAATAAATAACTGTTACTGGTTACTGAGTATTTAATATGTACTGAACGCCATCAAAAATTCATCTCATTTAACTCTGACACTAACTTTGTATGACAGATATTTTCCTTGTTTTAAAGGTGAGAAAAAATGAAGCTAAGAAAAGCTCTCTTCCAAGGTCATATCAGAACAGCTGATAAGAGTAATTACAGAAGCCATTCAATTTTGACTCAAAGTTCCATTTTAAACTATCCTTTACTTTCAGTTTACTACTATTGCAACCCCAAAATTACAAATGTTAAAAATTTATTTTTAGAGTAAGCAATAGTTACCTCAATAGTTACGTCAAGGTACAAGACTATACAGTGATGGTTTAATACAATAGATGGAGATACAGATGGAGAATTACTATAAAGTGACCTTAATAAACCTACCTCTCTAAAGATAAAAAAGTTAAGCAAAACCATCCCAAAATTATAGATAATAAGCACGAAGCGCATCTGAAACGGCTCCCGGTCCTTCATCCACTTCGGACCCAGCCACACGAACAGGAGGTAAAGAGTGCTTATGCTGAGAGTCGGCCATGGGGACTGCATGAGAGGCCAGTTCTCCACGCGTTTATCTACCGAAAAAACACAGTTACACAAAATCCACTACGCAGTACACACTGTATTCTACAGAAGGAACTTTTTAAGAATTAAAATGTTTTAAATTAAAACATTTAACTTTTAACTTCCTTAACTGACAATATAGGTCACTGTCTCATGAGTCTCAACAAAAATACATGATATAAAAACCAAAGAAACAAGACTGATTTCTGCAAGCAGCTTTTCAAATTCATGTGACTACTTATGATATACATTAGGTTTCATAAAGAATCTAAAAAAGAAAAAGTACACTATAAGCTTAACATGAAAAGTTAATGAAAGACTTCACAGACCAAAAATAACTATTTTAAGGAAACACTTGTCTTCCATATTGAGTACATCAAATTTATCAGTGCACTTGGAAGATACTCTCTATGTCCAACCCTAATGCAAATAAAAATTAGACGGCGAGCCAGATGTGATAGAGCATGCCTGTAATCCTAGCAGTCTGGAAGGCAGAGGTAGGAAGGCTGCATGTTCAAGCCTGCCCTGGGAAACTTAGTGAGACCCTGCCTCAAGGTAAGGCGTACGGTGGGGAGGGGAGAATAGGCCCTGGGTTCATTCTGCAGTACCATTAAATATAAAAAGAAAAATTAGACTGCAGCTGTCTAGTGGAGTAATGGACGTTTTTAGAGGAATAAGAACACAGTTACACCTGGGAGATTAATTTCAAGTTAGTGTTCTATCACTTATCTAAATGGTAATTAGTCAAGACTAACATTTTACTTTTTCATTGAAAGCATGCACCATTTCACTATATATGTATAACCTATTTGTTTTCTTCCCTAAAGCTGTAAATCATACAACTTACATATCTGTAATATGTATAATGGAACCCATTTCATATAAAATGAATTCACTGTTCATTATATTCATATATGCAACCCTGAAACAATTTTATAATAGTTTCTTGCTATATAAGTAAAGCATTTCCAAAACAAACATAATAAAAATATAGGACTAACAAATTTCATCTTTTATATACATAAAAAATGAGTATCCAATTTTTGTATTTCTAAAAACTAAATAATGTTTATCTTGTGAATCTAATACCTATTTTATTGTTAGCAATATAAAACATTTTATGTTCCATTTTGAGAAATGATGTGTCTCTAAAAATAGAGGAAAATGTGTCTTTAGTCTATACCAAGAATCCAGCCTAAATGAACTTAACATAAATTATAGTAAACTATCTCATTCACAAAAATTACATATTAACCAAAGTTACATTAAATACATTAATTTTACTAAATACATTAATTTAAATAAGTTTATTTATTTAAATACATTAATTTAAATAAATTTACTAACATTAATTTAAATAAATTTGTTTCTATTTATTATCAACAGAAAATATACTATAACACACAAAATGCAATGTTTAATCAAATTATCTTCAAATTCAGAAAGTGACGTAATTATTATAGTTTCAGTGAAATCAGAGTTATTAAAAAGATGAGACAGTGACTTGAAAGAAAAATAAATACCAGAAAAACAAAACAAAAACCTGATTTATAGGTCACTGTTCATGGAGATTATGGTTATAACTCTCAAATCAAACATATTTCAGAATTAAAAATACTTGAAACAGAAGAAATAGTAAACCTCTCAGAAGAAGGAAGTGACTTAAAAAACGGTAATGCTGACTTCTATTCAAGCCCTACTGCTTTATCAGTTATCACTTTTTAAATAACATTTTGTTATCTTATGAGTATGGTAAGTGTCCTTCTATGATCCTGCCTTTCCATGTCTGAGGTCCCCCTCAAACAAAGGGCCTCATCTACTTAGGTCCTGGTTGCTGCAGACAAACTTGTAAAGTCAGATGCCCTGTTGTAGGTCACACAGGAGCTGCTATATTTTTTCTCTAAAATGCAACTGCAAAAACCCTTATGTCTTTTGCATCAGGCTGATGTGAAAAGCAAAAGTATGTGTTCTTGGGGATAAAATTATCCCAGAGGACAAAAGATAAACTCATCTGTAAGATCTTAATCTCCCACATACAGGAGACTTACTGAATTCCAGGAAAGTTCTGAACAGCAAGTAGGAAAAAATTAGAGATGTTCAAAAATTTCCCAGAAATTACAAGTAAATAAAAAGGTTCATTCTTGATGCACAGTGTGGTACCCAGTATCAGTCTCTCATTCAGCAGAAAAATTTGGAGATCAACAAGAGACAGAAAAAGAGATAATAGGGAGAAACTAAAAATTTTACATGAAGCACTAAGGGACTCCAACAAAAGGGTGAACAGAAAGAGGGAAACGGATGGGAGCAACACAAGTATCAGAGAAAGCTGCAAGACTGTCCTCCCAGTAAGCAGGCAGCTGAGCGCTACTGCCAGGGCACATCTCACTTCACTTCCTTTACCTCTAAACACTAACAGGAGAAGGTAAACTAGATCAGTGCTTGTTCAGCTTTAAAGAAAAGAATCACCTGGAAGGAAAAATGAAAATGCAAGTTCAGTACAACTGGCCTCGGACGCAGCCCATTTCCGGGGAAAGCCTGCATTATATGAGACACTCCACCAATGCTAGGCCAAATCCACGGACCACCCTTTCAGGAGATAGGTAACCCGAAGACTCCCTGAGGTTTCTCTTAAACTCCTGGAAAGTATTAGTTTTTAAAATAACAAGAAGAAGAATAGATTAAAGGTTTGGAAAACTGGACCAGTGATACTTGCCGGGGCCAGGCAACCTACCTACGCGTCTCCACCACTCTACTCTGTGATCTGTTGGCACTCTGCAGCCTCCAGGGCAGGAGTTGAGCCATGTTTTCTGGTATTACAAGGCTTACCAATGATGGATAAATTTTTTAGGGTGAATAAATTAAGAAGAGATAATCTTCATGTTAGCACTTCATTCTCTGTCCTCTCAAACACAACAGCATGCATATATTTAAGGCTTCTGAAGTGTCCAGCACCCTCTCCCTTAGCAATCCATGGACCGTCAGCACAACTTTAACCTAAGCGCACCAACGCTACATCCCAGTACTCAGTGAGTGTGTGTGTGTGTGCTCCATGAGGCTATCTGTATGTCCTTTATGGCACTGCGTACTCCTGGGGAGAAAAGCAACACCCTTCTTTGCCAACCATACAAACCATGTGTTCCTTCAGCAACAACTTAACCCCTATTTTCACCTTATAAAAGGCCACAAGTCCCATCATACCTTTCTCATGTTACTCTTTCAGTTCATACAGGTCAGAAGGTGCTTCAGACTCCACCTCCATTATTATGGAAGTAGAAGTAACTGTTAGCCCCTGACCTATAGAAGACATTTTTCACCCAAATATTTGCATGAAGTTTCCCAAGATCTTTTACAGTACTATTATATAAGCTGTGGCCTTTTTGTATTCATGTACATTATCTTCTTGAATGCTTCTGATCAGACTGAAATATTCTACATTTTGTTATATGTTCTCTTTTCCAACACAGAACTGAGTGCATCACACCTACAGTGTCCAGCAAGCCTAGTCCAGGTACTGAATGCTCTGGAAAATGCCACGACCTGTGGTAGGAGTGGAACTGTATAACTCGGAAAAGACAAAGAGGATTCATCAAATACCAAGAGAACTTGTACGAGATCTGCTTTATTCTCTTCAGCGGACAAAATAGAACACACGAGAAGTGACGGGGAAGCGCATTTCACCTAACAGCAGAAAGCTTTTAACTACTAGGTGTTTTCCTTCAGGATGCAGCAGGAAATCCCTCTTTTAGTAATAAGTTCCCTATCCTAGTTTTAAATTAAGGTAAATCTAAAGCCAAATAGTACACAGCACATCAAACTCTAGAGTAAATGACTTTATTTTAATTATGAAAATTAAGACATTCCCTTAGCTAACTTTTCCACATCAGTAAGAGTTAATGCTCAAGAACAGTTTCCACTGAGCGTCTTTTGACTATTTAATAAAATTCACAGTAAAAAGATGGACTGATACATTTACAAATATTAACTAGGTACATTTTAATACAGATAGAATTTTATCTGTATTTAGGGTGTCTTATACCCCATAACAAGGAGAGAGAAGGCAAGGATCCATCATGAAAGCAAGGGGAGACATCTGACGGGTTAAAAGATCAACAGCAGAAGCTGTGAGAGATGGACTGAAGGAGAAAGGAATAAGTCAAAAAGAAAACCAGACTGTGGTTCTCAAATGCCTGTAAGTTGTTAGGCTGCCCACATAAGAATCATGTGCTTGTTAAAATACAGATTGCAAGGCCCCAGCCATGGAATCAGTATCTCTGCTGGTGGGGCTTACCATATGATCTCCATCAGAGATCCCGGGTGATTCGGACACGCAACCAGACTTCAGAGACCTTTGTAATTCAAGAGATGGCAGAATCTGGGCTCAGAGGTTCTGTCTGCACTGCACTGATGCTGAACAAGACAGAGAGAAACAAAGGATAGCAAGGGTAAAATCTATAGGTGTAGTGATTATGAATGTAAGAGGTCAAAGTAAAAATTCAAGATTACTTCCAAATGTCTGACCCAGCTGGTAGCACAGAAGGCGAATGGTCCAGGACAAAGCACAAAGGCTGATGTGGGAGGAAACGACCATGTGACCATTAGGCATTTCCAGTGTACCGGCTCCTGCAGCCTGAGTGGAGGTGTTAGAGGAAGGAACTGCCAGGGCACGCCAAAGCCACTGACCATGCACCTCACAGCCGAGTTTGGTCACCAGGGAAGCAGGTGTACAGTGAGAGAATAAACTGGGAAAGGTGGGCCTGGGGAACCCCAAGGGCGAGTAGGTGAAAGGGCAGCATATTTGCCCCAGCAGCCGGAAGAAAGCGGATGCCACACAGACCGGGAAAGAACAAGGCAGGCAACAGTCTACAGCAGCGTTACAGGTTCTGCTCTTTCTTTTCTATTCTTTTCTTTTTAATGAGGAAATAACTGCACCAAACGTTGACATGTGGGATTACATGAACTGAGGTAGTTGCAAGCCCCCAGCACACAGGGATGCCACGAAGGCAGATCAGTT